CGGATTCTTGTCGTTGTCTTGTTGGGCTGTGTATGTGACAAAAGAGGAGCCATACCGGGGTGAAGCCATCTTATTCTATTTGTCCCCACATCAGTTTCAGTTTATTGGTTAGTTTTTCTAATAAGGCTGTTATCATACCTCCCTCCCCTTCTTTCCCCCTCTTTTCTTCCTAACCCAACACTGTATGTAACACTAATGTCTCACAACAAATGAAAACACAACTTGAAAAACGAGACAATGCACGTATTTTTTGTAAACTAAGAAATCTTTAATAAAAATATATTTTTTAAAATAAGCAGCTCAGAGGGTGGCTGCCTGGGAGACTTCCTAAGTTATGCTTTACCCTGCCCTTTGACACCTGAGATGTATGCTTTAGTACTCACCTTATTTCCATTATTGTAAGTTGTTCATTTTTAATATGGTGTTTTCATTGTTGTAACCTGCCCTGGAACATTAGGGTAAAGAATGGATTACAGTGGTACCTCTGGTTGCGAATGGGATCCGTTCCAGAGCCCCATTTGCAACCTGAAAGGAACGCAACCCACGTCTGTGCGTCTGCGCACGCGCAGGTTGCATTCGCCGCTTCTGCGCATGCTTGTGACATCATTTTGCGCGTCTGCGCATGCGCGAGTGGCAAAACCCAGAAGTAACACTTTCCGGTGCTTCTGGGTCACCGCAGGACGCAACCTGAAAAATCGTATCATGAAGCAAACGTAATAAGAGGTATGACCGTATTATTATTATTATTATTATTATTATTATTATTATTATTATTAGTAGGGGCATGGTACCATTGTCAATGCTAGGGAACCAATCAGTGCATGGGGTGGAACAGAGATCTTTTGATGAAGGGCAGTATATAAATCTAATCATCATCATCATCATCACAGAGACTATTGAGTTGCCCTAATCGACAGAAGAGCGCCATAGAGGTAGTTTCTTTGTGACCCCATGGGAAGGGAGGTATTTTCTTCGCTACTGGTGACCCTTCTGGCCTCCCTAGGAGAGAGCCTGCCTTGTGGCATGAGAAAGAACCATTGGCACAGTTAGTCCAACACCTGACAAAACTTTCTTTTCCAGGCCATTTACACCGTCCGCGACCCCAAGGACGTCTGTGTCTCGCTCTTTTATTACACCAAGATGGCTTCATTTCTGGAGCACGAGGAGGATTTTGGGGAATTCATCAGGAAGTTTGTTTCAGGGGAAGGTACATGAACGTGTGGGTTTTCTGAGAATAGCAGTAGGACCTGACATTTGGTAGGAGGTGTCAGGGGTCACAAGCGGTGTAGTCTGGGTCCCCGCTGGGGCTGCTTGGTCGAAAGGCTGGGAGGCTGACAGCAGGTGGCGCTAGCAGCAATAGCAGGCAGAGCCAGAGCCAACAATAGATGTTGTTGTTTAGTCGTTTAGCCGTGTCCGATTCTTCGTGACCCCATGGACCAGAGCACGCCAGGCACTCCTGTCTTCCACTGCCTCCCGCAGTTTGAAACCAAGTTGATCTTGATCTATCTATTGTTGAGTTGACCAAACTCAACAATAGATAGATCAAGTTAATTCTGGTTTTGTCCCCACCCTCCTCTCCATTGAAATCAACAAAGGCAGCACTGAGACTAAGGAAGAGGTTGTCAGCCAGTGTCACCTCCTGGACTGGTTGTTAATAAGGAGGCAGGTGGAAGGGGGCTGGCTGAGGGCAGGCTGGACCCACACATTGACCCTACGCTGTGGCCTTTGGCTCTGTTCAATCTCACATGGCAATCCTGCCAATAGTCTTGATTTCCTAGTAATTCGCATTGCTCACCTACAAAGGAAATGAAAGATGCAATCCGTACGTCTGATTGGTCTGTTGTCAGTTCCAACCTGTCAAACCTGCTTAACCTGGAACCAATTAAACAAAGGGTGGCAATGGTGGGTGTGGCCACAAGTGGGTGTGGTGTGACCACACACACACAGATCCCTCCCCCCAAAAGGCACATAACTCCCCTCTGCAACTGAGCCATGCAGGTTCTTAACAATCTGCTGTTGGTTAAAAATAGATTCACTTAAATAACCTTCTCCCAACCTGGAGTCTTCCAGATGTTTTGGACTACAACTCCCATTAGCCTCAGCCAGCATGGCCAATGCTCAGGGATGATGGGTGTTGTAGTTCAAAACAACCAGATGGAGAAGGATGAATTAGCAGCTTTCAATCTCTCTCATTCACTTATTTCCATATATGCCTGAATCTTCGTTTGAAACTGTGGCTCCTGGTAGACAATATTGTAGACAGCAAAAGAACAATCCTATGAAAGTTTCCTCATAAGTCTCACCGAAATTGATAGTGCTTGCTTCCAAGTGACTGTGTGTAGGATTGCATCTTTTAAAATTTAACCACAAAACAAATCCCCTCTCTGTTTCTCTTTAGTTCTCTTTGGCTCCTGGTTTGATCATGTCAAGAGCTGGCTGGCCTACAAAGACCAGGCAAACTTTCTCCTTCTGACCTATGATGAATTGCTGAAGGTGAATTATTAAGAAAAAAAAACAGGTTTCTTTGGTCTCCAACCCCTGGTCCTCTCTCAGGTCAGACCCATAAGCCATTCTAGGCTACTCTGAGGCCCTGGCATTCTAGCTCCTTCCAACCCTTGCTATCTCCCCTTCTCAGGACTTACGGGGCAGCGTTCTCCGCATCTGCCAGTTCCTGGGCAAGGACTTAGATGTGCCTGCTGTTGACTCCGTGGTGGAGAATGCCTCTTTTGAAGCCATGAAGGGAAACAAGATGGTGAACTATAGCCTCGTCCCTGAGGATATTATGAACCAAAAGATCAGCCCCTTCCTCAGGAAAGGTTAAAAAAAAAGTCAATATTTGAGGAGGTGGTACATCTAGAGTAAAAGATCCCTCCAGCTCTCTCATATTCCCCTACGAACCTTTTTTTTTTTTTTTTTTGGCAGGGATTTCTGGAGATTGGAAAAATCATTTCACTTCAGAGCAGAGTGCTGCATTCCATCATCTCTACCAGGAGAAGATGAAAGACGCAGGGATCAGATTTCCTTGGGATGAAATCCAAACTGAAATCCACCAGGAACCTTAAGGTTTCAGAGAGGAAAACGTTAGGCGCAGAATTTCCCCTGTTCTAACATCCTTATACACCAGCCTTTGTTATGAAAACCAGCTTACTCTTTTTAACACAAAAGCTACCATTCACTTCTCACATAATATAGGAGTCTCAGCTATCAGCACTACTGAGGATTCCAGTGCAGGTTTATGCTTTGAGCAATGAACAGTAGGAGCTCTTCACTCTGATAGAAAGCAGAGGGCTGGCTTGTACAACTGGAAGAATTAAAGTTTTCTTGGATAGTATCATATCAAGCTGCAGTGGTGGTGCTGATGTTGTGTGTCTGAGTCATCCCCCACAAAAAAAAATGCTTCCTGCATTTAGAAAGCTAGCCTTTCAGGGACAAAGGGTCAGACCTTTCCTTTTTCCCTTCACATGCTAGATTTTCTTCCCCAGGCAAGGAGTTCTCTTGTGTTCTTTTGCTGCTGTGTCACAATAATCCTGTGCCTCTCTTTACTACAAAAGAACATTTGTTTTTGCCAGTTTTGTCTGCCTTTCCTCTTGCAGGCGACTTTTACTTTATTTGCAGTCGCGACCGGTTATAAAATTTTGCCTCCCCAAACTAATAAAGCTGCAATAGCTGTCCCGATTGTCCACTAGATGGTGTAGTTGTTTTAGACAAGGACAATGTGGCACTATGAGCTCATCTGCACTGCCTCAAAGCTCGCCTTGTACCGTGGGTTGCGCCCTCCTTCATTTTTTGACAGGAAGCGCATGTTTCTACTGTCCAGGTGACACATCTGCTGACCTGTAGCAAGAAACTACTTTCCCACTAACCAACAACAATGTAAAAAGGCTTCCTAAATCAAGTACATGCCGCTGTGCTGTGTTTGCCCTATCATGGTTTTTAGGTTATCCTGTTCTCCTCCTCTGCCGCTGCCACCAAACCTCAACACTCCTTGTCTCGTATATCTTTAATTGCTGCTGCTACACATTTCCAGGCGAGTATCTCTCTCCTTTCTGGCAGGCCTGACCTGGGAGGAAGTCCTTTTACACTCATTGGGGCCTTCTTCTTGAGACTGGGTTGTTAGCTGTGTTAGTCAGTAAGCAAAGCGCTATCTTCTTTCCGCACTCCTTCAACTCGCAGAAAGCTCTGCTTATTCTTTTTTAATCCTATTGCTTCTCAGGCAGCAGCTCGGAGCAGGAACTCAAGCTGCTTTGCTAGCTAAGAGCCTGAGCCCGTGTGCCGCCATTGCTGCAATGTGGGTGGGGTGGCCTGTGCCTTCCCCAGCATCCTGGGTGCCTGCATGCAAGAGACAAGGTGGAAGCAAGGGAGAGGCACAGGCAGGAAGGAGCAGATTTGCCTGGGAGGAAGTCCCTTTGCCCTGCAAGGGGCTTGCTTCTGAAGAGGAGCGCCCGAGACTGAGTTCTTAGTTAAGTCCGCGAGGAACGTAGGCTGCATTTTCCTTTATTCATTTGTAATATTACTAGTAGCTCCCAAGAGCACAAAGTTTAGCGTTTGCTTGCTTGTGCATCACCGAGGGGGGCTGTTGCGAGGGAGAAACAGATGCGCGCTCCTATCCTGCCACAAACACATGATATGCCTTTCCCCTGCCTGTGAGCAAGTTTCGCAATCTGGCAAGGGCTTTGCCACCAGAAAGCAATAAGTAGATCCGCTGCTACAGCGCATCAACAACACCCAACCCAAAACGTATCTCCCTCCTCCTTTAGAGCAGCCGCCGACTCAGAGCAAACCACCTGGTAGACATGACAGCAAGATAGGGATGCTGATCTCCGAAACGCATTGTGAAAATGAAGTTCCTCAGCCCCTCCCCCCTCAAAGGGGTGGTACTTTCCCCTCTGCTGATGGACAGACACACATGTCCAATTTACCTGTTCATTTGCAAGTCTGTTCCAATCTCATTTCCACATTAACCTGCAACTGAAATAAATAAACCAACCCCACACAAAATACATATTTAAATACACCATTTATCTCCATGTACATTATTTCTAAAAGCATCTTTATCTTGAAATATGCATGTTGGCATTTATTTATTTATTCTTTGAGCGGAGAACTGCGTCGTAAATTTCGGACACGTGCGGAGGGATAATTATGCTCCAGTTGGCACATTTTCAGTTCGACAGGCACAGATCAGGTCAGGTTGCCTTGGGATTCACAGGCCTCGACTTCTTTTCAAGCGTTCCTTACTTGCCACACAGGAGAGGATGGAGGAGGTAAGAGAGGCCTATACGTCCTCAAAACTAACACTTAAGAATCCAAATGTTTCCCTTATGCTCTCTAATAGCAAGGGAAGTGGAGGGGTATCACCAAATGCACCCATTTGTCCCCCCCCCCATTCCCTCACTCTGTTTTCCTCCCTGCCCCCCCCCCCGGTGCTGATTCAGCTGAGTCTGCATTTCCCACGCCTGCTTTGCTGCTGGAAACTACGCAGTTTGTGTGCCCAGGCGTCCCTCCAAGGCAGGGCCAGGCTGTTTTTGTCGAGGATTAACCGGGCAGGGTCGGGCGACTCCTCATCGTTGCCGATCACCAGGTAAGATTTGCCGACTTGGAGGTGGAGGCAGCGGCATGCCAGGTCCTGCTCAGGCACCCAGAGCGGCTGCTCGCCCCGCCGAATGGGCACTCGGCGCTGGCGGTAGACGGTGAGGACCGAGGCCGTGAACTGCCACCACGTGCCCGACTTCTCCATGGACAACAGCTGCGCACGGAGAACTGGCAGTGGCAGAAAAAGGAAGGAATGACCCTTGGGAAGTCGCAACATGATGTTGCCCTGCAGCTATGGCGTCACACACACAAGGCTTATACTGAGTGAGATGGTTGGTTCACCTCCATCAGTATTGTCTACACTGATTGGCTGTCGCTCTCCAGGGATTCAGGCAGAGGACCATTCCTGGCCCTACCTGGAGATGCCTGGGATTGAACATGGGACCTTTCACCCCCTTTGTAAGTTGTTCTGTTCTTCCCTCCCCAGAAGCTGGAGCATCTCCTGGCCCCCATTTTCAAGCCTGTGATGTCATTGCTGGGCATGTCATCCCTTGCAAAACAAATACCCAATACTTTCCAGAAGGCTTGTGCTTCCAGCAATGATGTGCAGATAGTGGGAACTATGTCATGAACAAGCCTGCACATCTCACCTTACATTTTCCTTTAAAGGTGGGGTTTCCCAGGGTTTCCCATTTCAAAACTATAATCTTTCCTGGCCATAGGGCTCCCTGGCTGGTTTTTTTTTGGGGGGAGAGGGGGGAGGAGAAAAGGTGAATTACAAAATTGTAGAGTTGGAAGGGACCACCCCCCTGCTATTTAGGAATCTTTTGCCCAACGTGGGGTTCGAACCCACGAACCTGAGATTGAGAGTCTGATGCTCTACCCAATGAGTTATGTCAGAGGTCTCTGGCATCGCTTCTGGGTTCAACCTCTTTTTCGCTCATTTGTAAAGAACAACTTCACACAGAGAGGTTGGTGGCAGAGAGCTGAAAGGGTGTGGGGAGCTGTGGTTTCAGACACGAGTGTGAATTACCGTAATCCTTTTTGCAGTAGTTCCTCAGGTTCATCTGGACCCGTCCTCGCGGTGGCTTACAGTGGGTCTGACATTCAGTACCTATTGAATGGATCAGGTTAGGCTGGTGTAAAACCACCTCCCAAATAAACCCTCCAGCAAAATAACATTTCCCTCCCCTGCCCACTCCTTCCTTCTCACCTGCATTCCACTCCTGTGGCGGGGCGACTGTCGTTGTCATCACTTCCTGGATCCCTGTGGGAGGGAGGGAAGATATAGAAGAAGCCATTCGATTTTGACTTTTTTAAGTAAAGAACATTCCTCGCCCAGAAGACAGGAAAACTTGGTGAGACAAGAATTCTGGGAACTGTGGTTTGTTCTGTGAACTGCAGCTCTGTGAGGGGTAAACTACTGTTCTTGGGATTACCATATTTTTTGCTCTATAAGACGCACCAGACCACAAGACACACCTAGTTTTTGGAGGAGGAAAACAAGAAAAAATATATTCTGAATTTCAGAAGCCAGAACAGCAAGACGGATCACTGTGCAGTGAAAGCAGCAATCCCTCTTGCTGTTCTGGCTTCTGGGATAGCTGCGCAGCCTGCATTCGCTCCATAAGATGCACACACATTTCCCCTTACTTTTTAGGAGGGAAAAAGTGAGTCTTATAGAGCAAAAAATACAGTATTTGGGGGCAGCCGTGTGCTTTAAATGCACGGCATGTCCGCAGCTAAGTCTAGCTGCACCAACTTGTTTTTAGATCAGTTATTCTGCTTATGATTACGGAATGATGAAGAACTTGTCACTCACAGTATTCCTCAGCTCTGCGCTGGATTCCATGATTTGACCAGGTGTCACCCACACCCTCCCCACCCAAACTGATGCTGACCACCCTCAGTATTGCACATGAGACCTCAAGAGAATATTATTATTTTTAGTAATGAATCACCCACACCCGAATTGAATGGCACTGCTGGAAGGCCAGAGCCTGGCTATCTCACATGCTTCAGCATCAGTTCCATTACAGATGGGATCTTTACACTACCTATGAAGTTATTTCCTGATATAGCATCGCCTGCAGAAAGATAAAAGACCAAAGGTTTTCTGGAACACATGTGCTTCCACAGCTATGACCTCATTTCCTGTTTTAGCAACTACTTGGAGGCAGAGCCTCTCAGAGCGCCTTCTCATTCCAGAACAGTGACGGAAAGGTTATTGGAGGGGCTTTCCATTCACCACCATTGGCAGGATATTCTTCTTCTTCTACATTATACATTTAAAGCTGCACCATACCCCTTTAAACAGACAGGGCTTGCCCCAAAGGATCCTGGGAACTGTAGTTTGCTAAGGATGTCGAGGGTTGTTAAGGAACCTCTATCCCAGACCCTCCAAGTGTCTCTATTTTCCAAGGACAGTCCCTGATTTAGAGAAACCGTCCTGGTTTAATTTGATCCCAGAACGTCCCACTTTTCCTTAGGACGTCCCTATTTTCACTGGAGAAATGTTGAGGATACAGAGTAGGGTTGCCATATTTCAAAAAGTGAAAATTCAGACAGAAAAGTTGTCAAGCCTTTTTTTTGCCGACAAAAAAAAAAGTTGTTAAGCCTTTTTTGCCGCATTTCTCCAGACATTTCAGCGGTTTCTGCCCAGACACTGTTTCCAACACCCATTTGCCGGCTTTGTCAGAGAAATTCTGGATGTATGGAAACCCTAGTACAGAGTTTTCCAACCGCTGAGCCATTTGAAGGCAGCCCTGTATATGGAAGTTGGTTTTTTGAAAATGTTTAATGTTTTATACTCCACCCAGTCAGATGGATGGGGTATGATAGTAAAATTATTATGGAATGGGACGTCCCTATTTTCATCAGAGAAATGTTGGAGGGTATGCTATTCCCCTCAGAGACCTACAATTCCCAGAGTTCACAGGGAAGAAGGCTTGACTGTTAAACCACCATGGATCTTGTTGCTTTGTGAGGGGAATAAAGGTAAAGGTAAAGGGACCCCTGACTATTAGGTCCAGTCGTGACCGACTCAGAGGTTGCGGCACTCATCTCGCTTTATTGGCCGAGGGAGCCGGCGTACAGCTTCATGGTCATGTGGCCAGCATGACTAAACCTGCTTCTGGCGAACCAAAAGCAGCGCACGGAAATGCTGTTTACCTTCCCGCCGGAGCGGTACCTATTTATCTAATTGCACTCTGACGTGCTTTCAAACTGCTAGGTTGGCAGAAGCAGGGACCGAGCAACGGGAGCTCACCCCGTCGCGGGGATTCGAACCGCCAACCTTCTGATCGGCAAGTCCTAGGCTCTGTGAAGGGAATAGAGGCCTCTTTAAAACTCAGCATCCTTAACAAACTACACTTTCCGAGATTGGTTGGGGGAAGTCATGACTGTTTAAGATGGTATGATACTGAGATAGATAGATGATAGATACCGTATTTTTCGCCCCATAGGACGCACTTTTTCCCTTCCAAAAATGAAGGGGAAATGTGTGTGCGTCCTATGGAGCGAATGCAGGCTTTCGCTGAAGCCTGGAGAGTGAAAGGGGTCGGTGCGCACCAACCCCTCTCGCTCTCCAGGCTTCGTGCAGCTCTCCGCAAGGCGTGGGAGCCCGGCTGTTCTGGGGGCTGGGGTCGGAGGAAGCTCGGGCCTGGGGGGGAAATAATTTATTCCCCTTTATTTTCCCCCCAAAAAACTAGGTGCGCCTTATGGGACGGTGCGTCCTATAGGGCGAAAAAACTGGTAGATAGATGATTAGATAGATAGATAGATAGATAGATAGATAGATAGATAGATGATAGAGATAGTGCTGATGAGGCCTTATTGCATTAGGCTCTTTATTCAACAACAACAACAAAATATATCAAAGCAACATTACAGCAACATAAAATACAAACAGAGAAAATCAATTAAAAGCCAAATTGAAGAAAATAACACACGGCACAAAATTCCTAAAATACTCACCCAGCAATGCCATAAGGAAGACAATTCCTACCTCACCCCACGAAAAGATGAGCCGTGCAATAGAGGCTAATTTAACCACCCAAAGCTTGGGTAAATAAAAATGTCTTACTCTGGCTCCTAAAAATTGGCAATGACAGTGCGAGTCGTGGTTCCCTGGAGACAGCATGCCACAAATGGGCAACCACTGAAAAATATAGTCGCTGATATATTACTACACTGGGATCAGGGGAAAGATAGGGCTAGCTTATGAAACTTTTAATATAGAAAAGGATATTGCCTTGGTACCATATTGAACAGAATACAGCAGTGAGGTGGCGGCAGCAACTTTATTGAGTTTTCAAAACTTCAAAAAGACCCAGTTAAGGTAAAACATTCTCAGTTGTAGGTTATGCTAACATAAAAACAAATTCTTAATATTCCATAAGGTGAAATATATACAGCGGACAAATATTAAGGATGCACCCCTTATAGCGTGCATACTTTATTTTAATTCCAAGAATTTATATTTTCATTTCCTGTGCAGGATTTAAATACCTTGCACTGGAGCAGTTTCATATATACTCCAGTTCTGAAGTCTTTATGATAAGAGAATGTCTTGGGATGTGTCCATGTGTTTAAGCCTTCCCCCCACCCTCCACCGCAGCCGAGGTACAGCACTAACCACTATTCTTTATAGATATTATTGTGCTAGATTACAAATGTCTGGTCACTGAAGAGGACTTTATGTTGAATGTGCCTGGATGATTCCTTTAAGGAGCACTTACATTTAACAGGCATTTGGCCTGCAAGCAGATTATAGGACAGCATTCTTAATATTTGCCTGTAGTGTATATTTTACTTCATGGAATATTTAAAGTTTATCTTTATGTTTGTACAACCTACAAACTGAGTATATAACGTACAATTGAGTGCTTTACTTTAACTCAATCTTTTGGAAGTTGTATTTTGTTACCGAGAGTGGAACTTTTTTTTCGTTTTTGAGGGTGTTTTGTTTTTAAGACTTTCTGTTTTTATTGTACTGAAAACCATAGGCAGGCGCCCACAACCAGACACTGGGTAGAAAATAAAGGGCCCCAAGATGTAGTCTATGCTACAGAAGTGTCAAGTGCTCCTATTCCGTTTTCCAGCCAGTCTGCCATCCCCCCCATAGGATACTCCATTCTACTTTTTTCCTCCCAACAGGATTTATTGTCATTTCCCCCCAACCATCAGGCTATGTCCACATTAGCAGCTTGAAATGCACCGAGGCCAAGCCCCTCTCACTGCGTTTCAAGACTTTCTTTTAAAAATTTGCTGTACACACCAGCGAGGGGGAGAGGATGTCTTCATCTGATGCTTGTTCCCTACTTTGTTTCCCCATGCCTGCAACAGCCCCCACCGCAACTCCAACAAAGAGGTCATCTGCACATGTGCAATAGCTATCTTTGACGTACACACCTCAGCTCAACTGTGGCTTACGTTTTCAAACCAGATGGCAGCTGGTTTGAGGAAAATGCATCAACAGCGATGTTTCTCAAGAAGCTACAAGGCACATATGGATTGTGGCTAACGTTATGTGTACTTGGCTTCAGACGCTAGCTGTGGGTGTGCACTGGAGCTGGAGTAAACTGTAATATTGTACGTACACAGCCTCAGTCAGCATTCTGTGGCTACTGAGCGTGCCCAGTCCCCATTGGGGTGTTTTGTGGGGTGTGTGTCTCTGTTAGCCTGCCCCCCTCCCCGCGCTTCATATCGCACTTCTGCCAAAGGCTGCTGAAACCACTCTGTTCAGCACGGATGATACCATTTTGGGTACGCAAGCATCAGTACTCAGTTCTGAACATCCAGAAATGGAGGTTTCTGACCTCCAGGAATTAAGCAGCAGCTCAGATGGGTGTCATAGCCTTTTTGACTGAACCGTCATGAACCGCTGGTTCTAAGCAGGATTCAAGAAAAGTGGCCGCACTTACGCATGCAGGGGGCATGGGCGCTTCGGCTTTGCTGGAAACCTGGAGCACAGCGGTTGCAGGTCAGGCCGGTGACTCCATTCTTGCACTGGCACTGCCCTGTGGTCTGGTTGCAAATGGTGCCAACCGCGCCAATGGGATGGCACTGGCAGGCTGGAGGGGAAACAAAAGGGGGAGACGGTGTTAGTGGCTTAGAAGGCTGTGAGCTTCTCTGAAACTGGTCTGCCCTTCCCTCTCCCAGCACAGTCTTCTGAGAAGGTGCCATGGTTAGTTACTCCAACGCTGTGTGGACTTTCTCACTGTTGTGCCCCACACGGAGGGCCTGTTAACACTCTCTCTCCTCTCCACCACCCCTCCTGCCACACACAACTTAGGTAAAGGTTGTAAGTCTCAAGTTGTAGACTCCAAAATCGAAAGGATTCAGACACGCCTATGCTACCACTGTAAATATCACAACATTCTCCAGCCAAGAATGAGAAAGCTGCAAGGATCTCTGAGAAGTCTGAGAACTCTCATAAAACTACATTTCCCAAGAAGCCATGAAGGTCACATCAACTTACATAGAAGCTAGCTGAAGGACTTTTCCCTCAGTAGAAGGGGGAAGGTGGCTGACTTGACTTGTCATATTCACGTTTTGCAGATATAACATTGACAGAGGTAGCACACTGGTTTTTTTTTTAAAAATAATTTTCTTTACATCCTAACTTTTCTCCAAAGAGAACATGGTGGTGTATATGGTTCTCCCCTTCATATAATTCCCCACAACAGCCCTGTGAGGTAGGTTAGGTGCTGACAGCCTCCAAGATAGTTCCTACCACGTGCGGAGATCCTGAGAGAAAACCCCCTACAACGTGGATTGTTCGATTCTGACAAGCCTTCAGAATGTGGCAAACAGTGGAAACAGCCCAGCTCGTATCATGTGAGATGTCAAAAACAAAGGGACGAAGCTGTGCTCAGGTGAGGAGCAAATGGAAGAAGGGGTATATGGCCCTAGGGACTACTCACTGAACTGCCCCCCCCCAAAAATGCACTAACAAGCTTCCACGCCACGTCACTGCAGAAATACAGTGGGTTGCTCTTACTTAATGGATTTCCAATGGTGAAATCCAGATTAAATATGAAAAATAATGTGGGCTGGTGCTTTGATGATGCCAACATAAAAAAAAAAGTATGTGCATGCACAGCATTTATTCCACCATAAACACCCATCTAGTAGCAGCCTAACTCTCATTGCTTCTCCCTAATTCTAAGTATGGCCATTTTAGGGGAGCAGGAGATCAAAATTCCCTGAAACCTTACACAGATACAGTTTTTTTCCAGAATTCTGGGCAGCGTGAGAGGGACAAATAAATCCAGGTTGTGAGGAGGCTGTACCCTCACTTTCTCTTATTTCCCTTGTGGCTTATTGGACATTGACAGGGCTAAGCCCACCCAGGTACGTCCCCTTCTTTGGGTTCCACTGGTGTGTTGCCTCTATAAACCCTACTCACCTTTACAGGCTTTGCTGCTCACCATGGGCCTGCTGAGGTCACGCTTGAAGCCTGGCAGGCAGTACTGGCAGTGGCGCCCTGCTGTGTGGTGGCGGCAGTTCAAGCAGATCCCACCGCTTCGGCGCCCCGAGAGTTCGAAGAGCTCCATGCTGAACCGGCAACGGTGGGAGTGGAGGTGGCAGTCGCAAGCTGAGGACGCAGGAAGGAGGTCTGTCAGCTCTGCCAGCTGCCCCCTCCCAACCCTGTGGAAATCTCATCCCCACCCAAGAACCCCCATCACTCCCTGCACCCCTGGAGCCCCTCACCTCTGTAGATGCATGCCCCAGTCCCCAATTTCTCCTTGAACAAAGGCCGGCCCTGCCAGTAGTCAGGGTACACCTTTGTCCAAGAGCCTGGATTACAATAGTGTTTGTTTGCACCAGTGAAAATAGTCCAATACTCTAAACCATGAGTGGAGAAACTTGTTCTTCCTGAGGGCCACATTCTCTTCTAGGCAACCACCCAGGGGCCACAAATCAGTGGTGGGCGGGGCCAGAAGCAAAAGTGGGTGGAGCAACGAATGTTAAGTTTTCTCTTGTATAGTGGCTTCGCATATCTTTGCCTTCCTTTCATCCAGGCAAGCAAGAAGCAAGGACACATTCTAACCAGGCAAAAACACCCAAGGAGGGGTGGAAAGCAGGGCAAGTGGGATGTGTGCTTGGGGAGTGGGTGTGGCCTGGAGAAAGCCCCAAGGGCCAGGTAGAGAGGCCTGGAGGGCCACATTTGGCTCCCCTGGCCTGAGATTCCCAACCTCTGCCCAGCTGGTAGAGCATGAGACTCAGGGTCATGGCTTGCAGCCCCACATTGGGCAAAAGGATCCCTTCATAGCTGGGGATTGGACTAGAAATCAGTGGTTCCCAATTTTTTTTTGGCCATGCCCCACCTAAGCACCACCTGATGCCCCCCTCCCTGTGACATATAAGTGTTATTATTCAAAAAGTGAACTCCTATTCATGTGGAGGAAGCCTAAAAGGCCATTAACTGTTAATAACTCATTCTCAAACAGCCCCCCTTAAAAATTAAATTGTCCCTCTGTGGGATGATCCTTGCAGTCTCTTCCAACTCTACAATTCTGTGATACGTGGAATTGTGCTGCAAAAGCTCTCGAGGCTGTTAAACGTGGTTGTAAGAATGTGAGCAGGGCTACGATCTAATACACAAAGCTAAATCTTGGAAGAGGGGGCCTAAGGAAACTTGGGCCACAATCACACCGTAAATTTAAAATGCTGTGATGCCACAGCCATGGCTACCCCCATGGAATTATGGGAGCAGTAGCTGCTTAAGGGCTGTTCAGAGACCCCTATTGCCCTCACAGGACTACAATTCCCAGAGTTCCCTGTGAAGAGGGATTGATTGTTAAGCCCCTCTGAGAACCGCCACTCTGGAGAGGAAACCCACTCAGACATGGACCCAGGAAAACCTAGAAATGTGGCACGAAAGGAAATGTGAATGAGCTCTAAATCGCATCAAGCAGTTGGTCCCTTACCTTTCCCGCCCCGACCTGGCCACAGTGATCCATGCGATGGTCACCTCCAGGCTTGACTACTGTAATTCGCTCTACGCGGGGCTGCCCTTGAAGCTGTCCCAGAAACTCCAGAGGCTCCTCACGGGATCTCTGCCATGGGAGCATATTCACCCAGTGCTTTTCAAGCTGCACTGGCTCCCGGTGGAGTACAGGGTCAGATTTAAGGTGCTGCTTTTGACCTTTAAAGCCCTTCACAGCCTAGGACCCTCGTACCTACGGGACCGCCTCTCCCGGTATACCCCACGGAGAGCCTCAAGGTCCATAAGTAGCAACACCCTAGTGGTCCCGGGCCCTAAGGAAGTTAGATTGGCTTCAACCAGAGCCAGGGCCTTTTCAACTCTGGCTCTGGCCTGGTGGAACGCTCTGCCTCATGAGACCAGGGCCCTGCAGGATCTGATTTCTTTCCGCAGGGCCTGTAAGACAGAGTTGTTCCGCCTGGCCTTTGGCTTGGAGCCAATTTGATTCCCTCCCTCCCTTTCTTTTTTCCTTTCCTTCTTCTCCTGCGATGAGGCTACATTTTAATATTTTAATGTTTCAATATTTTAATGTTGTATTTTAATTTTGTTTTTAAGTTGTAATCATTCAACTTGTTTTTATTATTGCTTGTAAGCTGCCCTGAGCCCAGCCTTGGCTGGGGAGGGCGGGATATAAATAAAAATTATTATTATTATTATTATTATTATTATTATTATTGGCCTTGCACACTCAGCCTCTCCCTCTGCCTCACCCACACACTCATGCGCGTCTTTGGGGGTTGCCCGCTGCCAGGGCCTGTCCCAGTAGAAGGCTTTGCAGGTGTCGCACTCCAGCCCGGCTGTGTTGTGGCGGCACTCGCACTGGGGCGTCCCTCCGTCCCGGCCGGCTGCGCACCGCGAGGCGTGTCCGTTGCATTTGCACCGGGCCCCAACCTGCAGCTCCGCCACTCCGTAGGACGCCTCCTTCCTCCGCAACCCCAGCGTCCGTGTCGGGTGCATGCGGTCGAACGACACGCGGAGGTCGGTGGCTGTGACCCAGTCCTGGAGCACGGGGCTGTACTCAAACCTCCTGGCGGAGGGGCGGCCTGCCAGGGGCATAAAGGCCACCAGCCCCCCAGTCAGAGGCTTGGGGGCCGTTTGGGCTTCGACACAAGCCGCCTCGTGCTCCATGGCCTTCAGGATGGCGGTGGTTGGCGGCAAATGGTAACGCCGCCGGCAGTGGGTGGAGAAGAACTGGAAGGGCACCCAGGTGCGCCCGTAGTCCATCGACTTGTAAATCGCCAGGGATTCTGGACGCGGGGAGCAGAACCGCAGAGCCACGTAGAGAACTTCCACCCGGCGCCCTAAAGCCAAAGTCAGTGTGGCGTTAGCCGCCGGCTGGGACCACCAGCAAGTGGCGCTGCCCTCGGCGTCGGTGAGGAACTCTGGCAAGTGGGCGTTTTCTTTGCAGCGCTGGCAGAATTTCGAGGCTGGGTCAGCAGAGTCCCGGAAGGCGCACAGTCGTCCGGGAGGGTTCCCGCATGTGCTGGATGCTTCCACCAGGCGCCCCGAGGCCACTTCGGAGAGTTCAGGGAGGCAGTAGTGCGGGTGATGGTTGGCATCGTAGCAGGGATCGCGAGGGTCCGACGCCAGGCCCAGGAGGAATGGGAGGAAAACTGCAAAGCCCCATGGGAAGTGAAGCATCTCTAGGGGGGCAGGAGGGGAATGAGCCAAGAGTCGAAAGCTAACTATACATCACCTGGAAAAGAAGGAGGGAGATAATGGTTGGAGTTGGACTGCTGTTGACAATCAGAGAAGAAGAAAAGGTCACAATTGTTATGTATAATTGCTTAATTCACACAGAAATGGAGAATACCTGAATGTGTATTGCTGAAGGCTTTAACCTGTGGATTTATATTAAGCTTTCTGAGCTCCTAGATGGGTTGATAATTAACTATTATTGTTCTTTGCTAGTTCTGATGAGGTGTTTAACTTTAGATCACATGGGAGGCTATTGAACTGCAAATTCGCCATCTTGGAAGGGTGGTGGCTGTAGTCTTTGTTTTCAGGCTTTGTGGGAGTAAGGATATGAAAACGAGCCTCTCCAGAATGTGAATGCAACTCCAGGCTAAAAGGAGAGAGAAATTTGTTTCTAGGTCTGTTTGGAATTATCTTTTGTTTCTTATAAGATGGTGAGCCTGTGCTGGACATGCACAAGATATTGTATGGAATTATTTGGATGTATCTTTAATGTTTTTGTTCTGTTTTGAAAAAAGTTTTGCACTTAAAGCTTGAATCAAACTTACGGATATAGACAATGTATTATAGAAAAAGAAGTCAGTTTTTATGCATCCAGTTGCTTCACGCTACGCGATATTAATATCTGCAGTAACAACCACCTCTCCCCATTCTGTCTAGTTTACCCCCACTATTTCTCCAACAACGTAGAGCTTTCCTAGACTGGTGCCTTTTTGAGGGTATATTCCCTGATATACCCTGATGCAGTAATAGTGGTGGATCCATACTGGACCATCCACACATCTTTCTGCTTTATTAGTTGTGCAGTGATGCTTCCCCAAAGTTATCATGCCATTGTCATCTGGGGGAGGGTACTCTACAGCATGGGCGTAGCCAGGATTTTTGTGGGGGGGGGCAGGCCTTTTGTTGGAGGGGGCAGAACCTCAGTTTGCTATGTATTTTATTGGTTTTTATTGATTGGGGGGGTAGCTGCCCCCCTGGCTAAGCCCATGCACAATAGCACAACAAAAGCCAGAAGCAGGAATGACTGGAACATTTCTGGTATAATTAGCGGCAGGATTTCAGCAGGAAGCTATGGGACATGCATAGATTGGAAACAGAGCAGTATGTCTGCCCCAAAACGTATGCAGGTGCAAACAGTTTTGAAAGTGGGATTGTGTATGACCACCCAATACCATCATGAGCGCAAATTCACCATGAAAAGGACTACTATATGTAAAACACAATAAATGGGAGGCTCTTATTCTGCTGCATGCAATCTAAAGGTTTCCCCCTCAAGATCTCACTCCTCTTGCAAAATGCCCCATTTTTCTAGTGTTCGAAGTACAATATTTTGCCACTGGGAAAATATGACTCACGGAGCTATGGTTCCCAGAATTCCCTGCGAAGAGGACTGTTAAACTACTCTGTCAATTGTAGCTCTGTGAGGGGATCTGTGGTCTCCTGAGAACTCTTCAGCACCCTTAACAAACTTCCCACAATTCTTTGGAGGAAGCCAGGACTGCTTAAAGCGGTATGATACTGCTAAATAAACAGGGTATTTGTAGAAGCCCCAAAATAGGATGCCCCTTGCGGGTGGCCACTCCTTGGTAATCACTAGTAGGGAGGTGAATTTGTGTGTGCGCACACACACCCTGCAAGTTGTCGCTGCACCTGTTCTTTGCTCTGTGATCATTCATGGAACAATAATTCACACACACACATATCTCAACGACCCGCTTCAATCTAGAAACTAGGCCCAAAGAGCCAAATAGATGAGAATTTAATGAGCATGAGAAACTAGCTTTAAACCCCCTTTTCACAGTAGAGGCACGAATGGGAATTAACCCGGTCCCAAGGGCTGGGGGTGGGGGAGAGAAATAAAGGGAGGAGGTAATAAGCAATGAGGGGTTGCATCTGGTTATTAGTGTGTGGGTGTGGGTGTAGAGAGAGAGGAGGGTATAACTTGAGAGCGGTGTGCGTCCAAAAATAAATGACTGCTCAAGGAGTGCTAATTTGTGGGATTATGATAAGCCAAAATTCTCAATTTTCCCTGCGTGCCAGCACAGCTGGGGGTTGAGTAAACATGTTAGTTCCCTAAGGAGGCCAAAACCATTGCACTTCAGGGCAGAAAAAAGTATGGAGGGTGAGAGGAAATGGAGAAAAGTTTGTACCCTCTCTATGGGGCAGCGGCAGGCTTCTCTTAGCAACGACCAAACCTAGGGATCGAGGAGTCCTCATCTGTGGGTTAGGATAGGTCAGATTTTCAATCTTCTCTGTGTTCCTTATTGATCCTAAGGGTTGCCAAATAACCAGAAAGAAATGCTACCTGACTTATTCTTATGGCAACCTAAGAGCAACATGACAGACTAATAATTTGATTACAACACTTTATATAGCTACTAAATTGTGTATCTTCATTCAGAGTCAAGTGGCATACAATACATACAAGGTAACACTAACTAATGTGACTTCAGAGAATATCCCAAAGTACGGGGTTTTTCCAATGGTGTATCAAAGAATGATTCAAGCTTGAGGCAACATGCCTTCCAAAATAAGTATAAAGTCCAAACCACAGCACTGGCTGTCATTGTGCATTATTTGTCATTATGTTGTGTGTGGGGTTTTTTTTAAAAAATAAAGAAAGGCAAGCAACACACAAAACACATTCATTCGACAAGTTTTGACGTGTACCACCCACATATCACTGCCAATACTTAAATCTCCAGCTGTGACATTATAACTTGTACCCAAAGACCCAGTGAAGATATATCTTAGGGGTTCCAGACCCACCCACACTTAACTCACAGATGATATCATTGTAATTCTATCTAGTGCTTCCTAACTTGCTCAGTACAGCCCTCCAGATGTTGTTGGACTACATCTTCCACCATTCCTGACCATTAACCATGCTGGCTGGGCCTGATGATGGGTGCTGGAGTCCAAACAACATCTTGGAGGGCCACAGGTTCCCCATTCCTGGCAACCCAGGCCAAGGGAAGACTAATAATGCTTTCCAGGCAGAGCACATCTGCTCCTATGGGAAAACGAGCCAAGGTTTCACTCATAGGATTTGTAAAGGAGATTTCTTCTTTACATGTGCCCATACCGCATTTTGGGGACGCGGGTGGCGCTGTGGGTAAAACCTCAGTGCCTAGGACTTGCCGATCGTATGGTCGGCGGTTCGAATCCCCGCGGCGGGGTGAGCTCCCGTCTTTCGGTCCCAGCTCCTGCCCACCTAGCAGTTCGAAAGCACCCCTAAGTGCAAGTAGATAAATAGGTACCGCTTTATAGCGGGAAGGTAAACGGCGTTTCTGTGTGCTGCGCTGGCTCGCCAGATGCAGCTTTGTCACGCTGGCCACGTGACCCGGAAGTGTCTCCGGACAGCGCTGGCCCCCGGCCTCTTAAGTGAGATGGGTGCACAACCCTAGAGTCGGACACGACTGGCCCATACGGGCAGGGGTACCATACGGGCAGGGGTGCCAGCGCAGCACACGGAATGCCGTTTACCTTCCCGCTGGTAAGCGGTCCCTATTTATCTACTTGCACCCGAGGGTGCTTTTGAACTGCTAGGTTGGCAGGCGCTGGGACCGAGCGACAGGAGCGCACCCCGCCGCGGGGATTCGAACCGCTGACCTTTCGATCGGCAAGTCCTAGGCGCTGAGGCTTTAACCCACAGCGCCACCCGCATCCCCCCTTCAACCTTTCAAACAGGAGGCCAAATAGTAGGACACATGTCCCGTCCGCCCCCCCCCCCCCGGAACAAAGGCAGAAGCTGATTGGTTAGGGAGTGGAGCCAGCAGGAGCCAGGGCAAAACTTGGCAGGTCAGGATGATGATCTGGAGGGCTGGAACAGAGCTAGGATGGAATCCGGAAAGAGCAAGACTGTAAGGCAAAAATCACAAATCCTAAACTAGAGCAATATCTAACAGGTCATTTGATGGGCAATACCTGGCCAAAATCCAGAGTTAATGAACTTTCCAGATTCCCAAACTGGACCCCTGGAAGAACACGGTTATCCTCGTCTAACCAAACGCCTTTAGGAGATACTAAATGCACTTTTAGTGTGTCATTTTTGTAAAAACACGCAGTGTGTGGGGATTAGAGAAGACACTATAAGCCACAAACTGTGAAATCTGTGATTGACTGCTTTGGGGTGTGTTTTTATTTTATTTTATGACAGTCCTGAATAAGGTTTGAGATTCAAGTGAGACAGTCAATTATGGGATGGGCTGAGGCGCTGATGGAGGTCTGGCGACCCTAGAAGCCGGATCTCCTGTTTCTTCTCCCTTGATAGGGGATAATCCTTGGAAGAGAGGAAAGTGATGCCTCTGTCTTGTCTCTGATTTCTCCCCCCTCACACACACTAATCACTAATTGCCTGGGGGGCTTTGATTGTGGAGCATTCCTCAGCCACCAGGGAGGTCTCTCCTGTCTCCTGCAGTGTGTGTGGCTCCTTCTCACTGATGGGCAGGCAGTTCCTTGTTCCCAGGCACGGTTGGACCCCCATCCCCATAATCTTCCCCTCTTCTGCAAGGATTGCTTTTGTAATTTCTCCCATGGAGGTCTAGAGGTCTGACATGTGTTGGAACTGGCCATCCACATGGATTTTTTTTTTAAAAAAACAACCCCAAGAGAGTAATGAGTAGGAGTCTGCTCTGCAATAACTTTCCTGAAATTGGATGACCAGGCTCTAGCCAGAAATGGGGTGACAAGGGGACCCTAAAGTACACCAGTGTGTGTGTTTGTCTCTGTGTGTGAGAAAGGCAGAGAGAGATATTCAGAACAGCCAGAACATAAATAACACCTAATCCGTCTGCAGTGATTTAATTGGATTAAATACGAATATAATCAAACCGTATTTAGTCACATTTAAAAGCAAGCACTCGGCAGTCATCCAGCCGAATTTTATTTATTTATTTATTTGGCATATCTACAGCTCAGCTTTCATCACGGCTGTGGCTCAGTGTGGTTGCATTTGTACTTGTATGCAAATAGTCACAGGTTCAATCCCAGCTAAAG